CGAAGCATTCCTTTCTTAATCCTGGTCACAACATCATCTTGCATACCACATTTATCTCTTATCACGCAATTTCTCACCCTGTCATTCAGATTACACCCTAGCATATTCCTTAAAGACCGCATTTCTACAGCATTTATTCAACTTTCGTGCTTCTTCTGCCACACCCAGCTTTCACTACCATACATTAAAGTAGGGACTAACACAGCATTATGAATTACCATACGTGCCTGTTTTGACAAATTCTGGTTCTTCATAATAGAGTGTAGTGCCCCATTCACTCTATTCCCTGCATTTAATCGTCGTTCTATATCCCTATCATATCTACCATCCCTGCTAAATACACATCCCAAATACACAAACTCATCCACTTGCTCAATCAACTCTCCTTCTATTCTTATTTCACATACCTTTTTGCTTTCTTCTCTTTCAAAAACCATCACTTTCGTCTTACTTGCGTTCACTTTCATTCCCCCTTTCTTTTAATTCCCAGTTCATTAATGTAACCATCATTTGCAACTCTGCCGCCGATGACGCAAGTATGACTTGATCATCGGCATACAAAAGGCATTTGACGGTTAACTCGCCCATTCTTAACCCACATTCTTCATCTTTCAAAATTTGCAAACACCGGTCCATAAATAGGTTGAACAGCCAAGGGGAAGCCACACAGCCCTGTCTGACACCTTTTTTGGATGCCAAACCAGTCCGAGTAGACCCCATTGATCCTGACACAAGCACTAGAGTCCCTATAAAGAGACCTTAATGCCTGTATCAAACCAGCGCTCAACCCATATGAGTTCAGTGTTTGCCATAACACATTCCTGTCCACTCTGTCATAAGCCTTTTCCAAGTCCATGAACGCACAAAAAACTTTCTGGTTTTTGGCCAAAAACTTCTCCGCAATCATGCGCATGGAAAAGACTTGATCTGTACACCCCATTCCCTTTCTAAAACCCGCTTGCACATCCCAAATTTTTCCATCAGTTTCTTTCATAACTCTTTCAATTAACACCTTAACATACAGTTTACCCACAATACTAAGCAAGCTGATACCGCGGTAGTTTTTGCAGTCCTGCTGTGACCCTTTTCCGTTCTAGTATATCAGGAATATCATATTCAATTTTCTATGCCGTTACATTAAAGTTAACACCTATATTGATATATTAGGCCTATCGAAATTACTGGCAGTAAATTAATAGTAATCTATTGTTCCATATTATCTGATCTCTTGTTAGTTTCCGTCTTTAGTATATCAAGTTTTGTAATACGAATATTTAATGGACTTACGCCATTATTTAGTCTAGGTTCACTAAAAATTGCAATAATGTTTTTTGTAAGTTTAATGGAGTTTTGAAATCCAAATATATTATCTTAAGCGTCGTAGTATCTAATGTGTTCTCAAAAAACAGAGCTAGTAATTAAATGCATAAGAATGCAACTGTTAAACAAAAACTAATATTATTTTTGCTCTGATTTATGCTTCTCGTACTTTTCAGTCTAAGGTCAGCTAGAGCAACTAGTTTACGAGTGTTCTTTAGGTTAAATAAACGATTCAAACAGTGAATTTTTTTATGGATTAATTACATAAAATTTTTATTAAACTTAACTCTTTCCCTGTGCCATGAATTATATATGAACATTTCGATTATTAACTATTGTATCTGTTTCGTGGATAAGAAAACCGTAAAATATAATTCTGTGGAATTCATGCACCTGTTTATCTATAAACTGAGGTTTCAAGCTGATGAAGCAAAAAAATGGCACCGATACCCGATGTTTTATTGTAAATATTTTCTTATTTTCTCTAAGTGCATTGGTAATATTATCATTGACTTGTATTTCTAATATTATAGACTTACTATACTCGTGACTAACAACCAAGAAAAATAATAAAGATAGAACCCTACCCACTAACAGTTTGAAATTTAACGATATTCATATTTTTTTTATTACTGTGAGAGTGATAGTGAAAAGAACAAACGGTTTTGTATTTAAATATAATTAAATGTTGTTAGCAATCAGTGCGTGTTGTCAGTGATGATTTATGGATCTGAGACATGGTTCTTAACTGCTGGCTGTATGAGGACGTTCAAGGTCACTCGTCGAGCTATGGAGAGGGCTATGCACGGGGATTCTCTGCGTGATAAACTTAGAAATGAGGGCAGCCGCAGAAAGACCAGAGTAACCGACTTAAGCCAACGGATTAGTAAGCTGAAATGGCAGTGGGCCGGCCATATAGCTCGATGAACCGACAACCGATAGAGAAAAAAGGTTCTCAAGTAGCAGCCTCTTACCGGTAGGCATAGTGTAGGGCGATCCCCCGCTAGATAGATTGCGAACCTGGTAAGACATGCAGTACGTCGATGGATGTAGGTGGCGCAGGAGCGTGCTTTGTGTCATTCCTTGGGGGAGGCCCACGTTCAGCACTGGACTTGTGAAGAGCTGTAATGATGACGATGATGATGAAATGTTGTTTCTATTGTTAATTTTACATTATAAATCTACTTAATAGTTTTAATATTATAAACCATTTCTATGAGATGGTACTTTTTATTTCAAAATAAAGTGCTTTTTGTTGTGAATGTAACACCAACACTAATAATTTCTTGCACAAAATTAAAAATTAATAATTTTATAACCAGTAAATCTGCTATATTCCAATTTCCTAAGATTTTAATGTAATAAAATGGGTGAAAAATCACAAAGCTATATCTCTTACATAAAGTTTCTAAAAACAAATGGGAAATGGTGACCAAATTTCAGAACAGTAATTATTTTGTATAGAATTCATAGAAAAATTATTATCAATGTTAGCTAAACGCAAGTAGGTCGAGCAAGCGCGCGATCACATTCTAGAACGTTGACTTTGGACAGTTGAATTTCGCCAGCTATGATACTTTAACGGAGCGTTATTATTGATAAATAATAAATTAAAATTTTATACGTGGTAGAGCCATGCTGCAGTTATATTAATAATATAGTTGTAGCACGAATGGGTCGTCTCGACCGGAGAAGGATCACGTTCTCGCAGAATACCAACGTAAAATAGTAGCTTAGTACTGCTGTATTTCATATGTTGAATGTAGAGGATTGGAGACCCTTTTTTACTTGAAAAGAAGAATTCCATCTTAGTCCTCACGGGTGAAAACGCATCTGCATTTTGATTTGTAATCGAGGATAGATGTAGATGTCTATAGGCCGCAGCAACCACTTACCATCAGGTGCAGTGTGTGTGCTCTTTTGTCACCCTATCCTATAAAAAGAAATAAGTAAGCCTTGGTCGTTAATTTTTTTGATGGAATAATGTAATAAAAGAGCAAACAGTCCACCTGATGGTAAGTGGATAATGTGGGCTATAGACATCTACATATTTTATCAATGAAGGTTCTGGAGTGGCCGTTTGGGACGGGGGGGCCCACTCAGGCTCCGACATGGGTCGGAGCTTGAGTCGGCATCCGAGTAGGCCGGAGAGGGGCTGCGGTTCGACCTCGCGGAGGGCGTGGGAGAAGCAACGTCGTTTACCGACGCGAACGAAGCTAGTTAAACTAGGATGGAGAGGGGAGAGAGGGGATATTTCTCATGACAGATCTGCGTGTCTTTTTGAGGCATAAGGAACACCGACCAAATGTCGGGGAAGGTTTTACGCAGAAAGTGGTCGAGTTCGTCATATGAGAATGATGTCATATTGTCCTATGCTAACACAAGTTAACACAGATGTGTACCAAGATTTGTACCTAATTTAATACCTGTACACCTAGCACGTTGGTACGCCAGGGTATGTACCTAGATTGTTGCCTAATGCAATAAGCAACACAAAAGTTTTAAATTAAAATGTATGACTGCCTCTGAGGCAGCGGGTGTGTTTTACTCTACTTACAGTTTGCCGAAAACCAGAAAGCCAGGAAATAGAGTTACGCATAAATAACTCACTGCACCACAACAAACGTCCGATAAACTTCACCGCGAGACTTCTGTCGCCCGGGATAGCATGCTTGCACGCTGTGAGCACTAATACAATTTCCAATCACAGAGCACCAAGCAGCAAGCGAGCTAGTAGAGTGGAGTGACGGGACACCAACACATCCAGAGTTTACAGAGCCCAAGGCAAGAATGAGGCAAGTCGTATCGCCACCACGTGCAATATTTAAGTGGCAACCCGTCTCCTGCCTGTTTTCCTCTGTCGCCTCTTACGACACCCACGGGAGGATATGGGTTAATGGATATTCCTTAACGCGACTATACGCCGCCAACTTATTTAATATTTCTAATTAAATTAAAACAAAAAAATATATATTTTTTTGTAATTCCTTTTAATTTCCTTGATTTTGATACTCTATTCGATAGGTTTTGTTATTTTTTATTGTTCATGTTTAACTTTTTAGTGCCAAAAATCCGCCTTTTTTCAAACAGCTGTCTAAGTACACTTGGTATTTTAAGACTAATATAACGACAATTTAAACTGTCGAAATCTGTCCAGCCGTTTGGAAGATACGAGTTAATAAAGAAATGTACAAACAAACATCATACAAAACACGCATGAAAAACATAACCCTTGACGTCACAAATAGATCTGGTCTGACACACCACGCTTAAAACATTCTAAAACCTTAAGTTCTTAAACATCAAAAATAATATTCAGTTTAAAATGGGTTTAGTTTGGGCACAAGGTTGTAAGGTAATACTGCATGTATTCATCATTAATAACATAAATAAATACAAATCAACTTCTAAAAACTGAATAAAAATTTATAAAACAATGTGATTAATAACATTTTTAGTGTCGACATTTATTTAGGAAATGTTTAATGAAGAGTTTTAGTAACTATTAGTTTTAGATCGTTATAACCCATTATCATAATCCACGTAATTATTTGTAAGTCGTTGGCGCCTGGCGATTAAATCAGCATCATATAAACCTGTTTGGAAAATAAAACCGTCATTTAGTAAATATAACCGCCCATCGACACTGCACTCAGTGATCTCTTGTATCTAATTCAAACATGTGCAGTGCTGACCTTTCGTTTTGGAGACAGGTATGGAAACTTTGTTTTTTAAATTCGATTCATGATGTGTGAGTGCAAAGTAATAAGAAAATATTAAAAATGTATCTATGTTTTTTTATTTTAAATTTGTATTTAAACATAAAGGTGAGGATTAAAAAATTGTAATACGTAACTTTTCGGCAACAAAAACATTTTTAACAAACTAGTAGCGATGAACGAAACGTTAACTAAGTGAATCATTAATTGCATTAAATTCATTGGCTTACATAGAGGGAGGGCTAGAGAGCCGTGACCACGTCAGAATCTTCTGGACAACACAGAGTGTTCGTTTACCGTCCCACAACTCTAGGGTATTCTATAGGCCTCTTTCATCCCATTCTTGCGGGTGTTGACATGAATATCGCAGTACTTATGTTCTTTTAGGTCATTCCAAATTAGAATCTAAATCAAAACAAAAATTATTTTGATTTCGATTTGTGTCGAGATTGGCATTGAATTTTGACAAAGTGTGACAAATTCACACCAAGTATCACTGGAAAAAGTTTACTGCAGATTTACATAAGGGCGTTCTATTGTTAGTTTTGAAATCGATTTCCAGCTGGAGCTGGAGCAAATATTGATAAAAGAACATGAATGTTTTTTTTGTGCTTTTATTAATTAAGGAGAAAAACATAATTTTGTGATTATATTCTTTACCTTTGACACAGTAATTGTAATCTACGAGTATATGTGCAAAATAAATGAGTGCATTTACTTTCATATTTCGTTTCTTTTCTCAGCCCTTTGAAGTGCGCTGGATATAGGCTTCCATATTGTTAGGAGAATTTGCTTCATTTGTCAGGATTGATAAGTGAATTGACGATCGTAGCACTCCGGATTTAATTACATTGAAAGCCACATAACATAATCAATAAGAACTGCTGCCTGCTTTTTAACTAACTTCCATTAAAAATCGTGTCACGTCACGGTCGTTTACAGCATTTAATAAAATCAAATATAATTTATACGTGAAAAAATTCATGCACATACATATATATATATATATATATATATATATATAAATGTGTGTGTGTGTGTGTGTGTATGTGTATGTACTAGAGCCACGCTGCAGCTTTATTATGGTTGAAGCACGAATGGTCAGCTTTACCAGGAAGGACCATGCTCTCACAGAATACCAGCGTAAAACTGCTGCGTTTTGTATTGTGAGTGTAGAGATCTGGAGGCTTTTTTTTTACTAGAAAGGAGGTATTACATCATAGTCCTCAGGTGTGACAACTCATCTGCATTTTGATTCTTAATCGAGGATAAGTGTGGATATCTATGGGCCACAGCATCCAATTACCATCAATATATATATGGCATGCAATGTGGCAGCAATTGAATTGCAGCGCTGAGGGCTGCGAGGTTGAATCCCGCACGGAACAAGTGTTTTTTTGGCCTACAAATCATATTTCCGAGTATGGATGTTCGTAAATTTCCCTCTTTCGTCACTCTTGAGAGGATATGGGGTAATGTATTCCCTTACGCGGCCGCTGCACGTTAAAATTTTTCTATTGAAACATATACCACGTACTTCACTCATAGCTCACTTCATAAGCTGAGTATAAATTTAATTATATAGTCCGTTTTATGTTTACGTATATACATGTATTTTATCCGAAAATCCACAAGGCTAGAAAAGTTTTTTCTAGTTTTGTTTCTAATTAACTTTTTGTTTATTAAAATAACCTGGTAACGATGAATAACGTGTTAGCTAAATGATGTTATTATTATTATGATACTTTTGAATAAATAATAAATGTTTGGTAGCTAAAAATTAAAATACTATAGTAATGTCCATATGTTGTATATGTTGGCGAAATTTTTTCAGATATGCATTTCATTTCTTAGACATGGACGTTTTCGTTACAATAATTTCTACTAAAAACATGTATCTTTTTTTAATAAAACTGACGTTAAAAAATGAACTTACAGTCCACCTGATGTATTACAGTAAGTGGCTACTACAGTTCATGAGTCTTAAACCAAATTAAAATTAAGAAAACTACAGATGCGTTGTCATTTCTGAGGTTTAAAATGTATGTCTCACAGCCTGTAACTATTTTGACTCTCTATTCACTTCAGGCCTGAATACAGTGGTGAAAACATACAGTGCTTTTTCGCGACAAAATAAGAGATGATGACCAAGATGGGCTTCTAGACAGGAAAAGTGTTCTGCCACCTAGTACCCAAAGTATATAGATAAAAAGGTAAATCAGCACTTAAAATTAAAATTAAGTATTTTCGTGATGTCCGCAGGGTTCAATACAGTTTTATCGGGTATTATGAAAATTTAAAGCGAGCACTCATCGCTTATGATTTTCGGAGACTTTATCTTGTATAAATTCCTAATGGAATGATACCGTTTGCAGATATTTATACTAATACCAGCATGTCTACACTCGGTTTCCGCGGGATTCATGTTGGCTTTCCCGGCTGTGCTTAATCCGGCAATCCTATCTCCGAATAGCACAGACATCACAGCTACTTCTGACCAAGCTTCCTGGATAGGTTTGTTATAAATAATAATATATCATTTTATGGATATACCGATTCAAACAATGTGCATGTCATATCTCTGATGTTTGTTTTATTTTTTTGTCCCTGAGATTATGAGATCTGCAAACAAGCTACACTTTAGTACAGAGAACCCAAAATTATTATGTATAAAACACTACTGAAATTAAGTCATTCACTGAATATTAAAATATTATTCAATATTTATACAGAAGGAACAAAATATTTATGGTATCGATGAATTTTAATCTCAAATGTATTATAATTTTAATTTTAAATTTAGACTAATAATAATGGAATGCATTAATAGATATTTCGCTTGAATAGTAAACGATATGAGTTCAATTTCTTTGTTTCGGTTCGGATTGGAATTCTTTTCCTACTATGTTTTCCTGATCAATACAATTAGGAACTTTACAAGGCAAGGGGGGAACGGGGTGTTTATATTAATGTGTTTACCCTATTACGGCTTAATATCGGGTGAAAACTTGGTAAACGCAAATCTATTCTTGATAAAAATAGACTGAGACAGACATGTTGGGCAGTAGGGTTTGATTCCGGGACCAATGATCCCACAATTATTGGTGCGCGAATGACGAAAGGTATTGTGGATTGAACAGATATGTGGACTGTATCAGCGTAGTTCGTTTGAACTAAAACAAAATGGCTGTGTGGCTCGTGGCGGTCTTTGGACAAATATACTTGCTATAAATTTGATTTAATACATTATATCTAGCACGACGGTAAACATAAGCTGCCACGGAAAAAGGAACAACAAACTAAAAAAAGCTCAAGATTAAGGAACAGGCACTTACCTCTTGGGTATCTACTAGCGATCTCTCTCTAAGACCTTGAGGTGATGAAAACTTGTTTGCAACCGAGCGAGCAGCGGCGGCCTACGTCGTTTTAACGCTTCGGCCGTCTCCACTTGCATCTAAGCGGAGCACGCTTCCCATTAGAGGAACCAAATAAGACCACCAATGTCTAGCTCCCCCCAATTAGACAGGCCATGCGGGAAGGGAGTAGAAATGAGGAGAGGTTTTACCGGCTAATATAAGTAACAAAACAAAAAAAGAGGTATATTTAGCGCAACCATTCCCCCCTGACCCTTTAGACTTTTAATATTAGTCGCCCAATTTCCCCCAAAATGATTTGCGGCGGCGACGTTTAGCGACTACTCGATGCCATATTCACCTAAAACGCGAAGAAACTCTGAATTATAATATTTAGAAGTTGAAAACCCGTGTAACATGGGTACAAATACGTTTTGCTACTACATGGCTTGTACCATTATCTGAGTACAATCTACTTATAGGGCAGCGAGGAAAAAAAATCTTTTAAATGCACCCATGAAGCTAGCCATGCTTAGATCACCTGCGAGCTTTATGTTTACAGTGCGAGTAGTCAACCATACACAAATACAAACATACGCCTTCGTGGATCGTACACCACGTCCACGAGTAAGCGTAACTTTAAACGGGCCAGCAAAGTCTGAACCAGTGTGCATAAGGGGCTTTACGAATTGTGTTACATGACAGTACCTATGGTCCGCCTTTTCCGGGAATGACGGCCTAGGACGAACTCGAAACCAGGCGATACATCTATGTACCCAAATGTATAAATGTTTGCACCCGATTTTAAATTAAGTTTCGAGCAGAAAGAATGCAGTACTTCTTGCGCAAAATAGACATCAACAATTCACGGCCAGCGTGACAATTCAATTTATAGTGATAATCAACTCATAAATTCAAAATATGATACTTTTGCGGTAAAACAATAGAGTGTCATTGTCGAAACTTAAATGCGAGTTAGATAAGCCACCACCCACTCTAATAATCCCATACCGTAAAAATGGTTTTAGGCGTTGAAAAGTGCGACTACAAACCTTTAATGATTGCAACTTCGCAATTACATTGGCAAAGTGAAATCGTTGAAGTTCACGAAATATTAACAATTCTGCATAGCTATAGTCGGCTGCAGTGTTATAAGGACGTAGTGGTAAAAGTTTTACAAATCGGCAAACGTAAATTACCCTACGCAATAATTTCGACCAGGAAGTGAAACGACTTGCTAAAGCAATGATTGGGAAAACCTTACTCGAAGCAATCAAAACCAGAAAGTGTCTCTTCTGTTCCGGGGGTTGAGATACTAAAGAAGGGTTAAAATCAACTATGGACCATTGCGGGAGTTCTAACTGAATTCAAGAAGATCTTTGAAACCAAAGTGGGTGATCTATAATTTGCACCGGAGTAAGTCCACGCGACAAACAATCGGCAAGATTTTCTGCAACGGGCACATGATAAAAGTTCCGCAATACTAAATCGTTTTGTATCTTGGCCACCCGATTTGCGACGAAAGTATTCCAACGATGGGAAGATGAATGAACCCAATATAAAACGACTGTTGAGTCGGAAAAGGGAAATATTTTATCGATGTAAATTCGACCATTACAACATCGACAACAGCGGTGATAAGCTTGACAAGAACCAAAATTTTTGCAAAGATCAAGGCGTGCGATAGAGACAACCTTACGAAGGGAGACCTTTAATTTGGAGATAATAAGGCTAACCGAATTTTCACCATCATTCTGGACGTGAAAATATACAACGTCCCCGTTAGCTTTCTTGCTGGCGTCTGCAAACCCAACGACAGTGACAATTCTATCCTTATCGATATTTATATGACGTGGTATTTTAATTACACCCTGTAAAGAGAGTTCCTCCCTAAAGCGTAGACACGGACGTATAATGTTATCAGGCGTTGTATCATCCCAATCGAATTCACACAACAAAAATTGCTTAATAAAAAACCTAGCATACAACACCACCGGTGCTACAAAACCCATGACATCCCATAATCTAGCAACACATGATAATATCGTGCGCTTTGTGCAGGTCTCAGCGGGCGGTTAAAGCGATATTAAATGCACTGCAATCGACGTTTGTATTCACGGACCCCAATGCAAAGAAACATTTGACGAATATCGGCGGATAAGGCAATAAAAACAAACAAAAATGTTCTATTATATTAAGTAGGTTGCCCTGTAAATTTTGCCTACTATAAAGAATGTCGTTAAGGGAGAAGCGGATTCCAGTTTTAGCGCTAGCATCAAGCACCACACGTAACTTAGATGTAAGTTTGCCTTCCCTAATGACACCATGATGCGGTATGAAATATTAATTACGGCATGTCTTTACAGTTATCCATCTTTGTAGATGCAATCGATATATAGCCCTCGTTTATGTATTCATGAATAACATATGTTATAAGCTTCCTTCAATTTAGGGAAAGCGAGTACCTTGCTCTCCAAACAATAAAAACTTTTTCTCACATTTAAACATATATATATATATATATATATATATATATATATATATATATATATATATATACATACATACATACATAAACACTCACGCCTGTCACCCAGAGGGGTAGGCAGAGACTACAGACTTCCATTTGGCACGATCCTGACACACCTCTCTCGCCTCCTTCACATCCATACACCTCCGCATACATGCTCGTCGGTTAAGGGTACTCCTAATTTGGCCCGTTTTCAATAAATCGCCAATTTGGTCGATAAATTTTCGCCTAGGACGTCCCTTTCCGACTCTGCCATTCACTTCTGCAACATAAATTTTCTTTGTCACTCTTTCCTCATTCATTCTTTCCACATGACCAAACCACCGAAGCATTCCTTTCTTAATCCTGGTCACAACATCATCTTGCAAACCACACTCTTCTCTTATTACACAATTTCTTACCCTGTCATTAAGATTCAGCCCTAACATACTCCTTAACGACCGCATTTCTACTGCGTTCATTCTACTCTCGTGCTTCTTCTGCCACACCCAACTTTCACTACCATATGTTAAAGTAGGGACCAACACACATTGTGAATTGCCATACGTGCCTTTTTCGACACATTTTGACTCTTCACAATAGAGTGCAGGGCCCCATTTACTCTATTTCCCGCATTCACTCGTCGTTCTATATCCTTATCATATCTCCCATCCCTGCTAAATACGCAGCCCAAATATACAAACTCGTCTACTTGCTCGATCAACTCCCCCTTCTATTCTTATTTCACAAATCGTTTTACTTTCTTCTCTTTCAAAAACCATAACCTTCGTCTTACTTGCGTTCACTTTCATACCCCTTTCTTTTAATGATCTGTTCATTAATGTAACCATCATTTGCAACTCGGCCGCCGACGACGCAAGTATAACTTGATCATCGGCGTACAAAAGGCATTTGACGGTTAACTCACCCATTCTTAATCCGCATTCTTCAACTTTCAAATTTTGCAAACAACTGTCCATAAATAGGTTGAACAGCCACGGGGAAGCTACACAGCCCTGTCTGACACCTTTATGGATGTCAAACCAGTCCGAGTAGACCCCGTTGATCCTAACACAAGCACTAGAGTCCCTATAAAGGGACTCCAATGCCCGTATCAAGCCAGCGCTCAACCCAAATGAGTTCAGTGTTTGCCATAGCACATCCCTATTCACTCTGTCATAGGCCTTTTCCAAGTCCATGAACGCACAAAAAACCTTTTGGTTTTTGGCCAAAAACTTCTCCGCGATCATGCGCATGGAAAAGACTTGATCTGTACATCCCATTCCCTTTCTAAATCCTGCTTGCACATCCCAAATTTTTCCATCAGTTTCTTTCATGACCCTTTCAATCAGTACCTTAGCATACAGTTTTCCCACAATGCTAAGAAGGCTGATGCCACGGTAGTTTTTACAGTCCTGCTGCGACCCTTTTCCCTTATATACTGGGACTATCACGGCTTTGCACCAGTCTACCGGTACCCGCTTCAGTTCCCAGCATAAATTAAACAAGGTGTGCAGCAATATATATATATATATATATATATATATATATGTCGGAACGGAAACCTCGTGGTTGTTTTTATGATGGGGCAGCACCACTGTCCCCATTTGACAAGGGTTCAGTCGTACTACCGTTTATTGTTTCCATTGTAA